AGAGAGAGAGAGAGAGAGAGAGAGAGAGAGAGAGAGAGAGAGAGAGAGAGACCCAAAGAACCCAGCTGGCTTTTGTGCTGAAGGAGGACTAGAACTCCTAGCTTCTAGCCTGATGCGTTAGCAACAAACCCAACTACCCATCCCCCTCCTTCCTTCTGATTAGTTTTATTTCACATTTAAAGCTTCAGGAAGACAGTTCTCAACTCTTGATTCCTCACCTTCTTCTCGGAGGTCCAGCGCTTCCACAGTCTGTTGAATAGGGATGGCTCTCTCGTGTTTATAGCATATCCGCAGCTCTTCCTGTTCTGGGTCAGCGGGCTTTCCTGAGCTTCCTTCTAGGGCAGTCAGCATCTCTGCATCCTCCACTTCACAGCCCTGGGATTAAAAAGGGTTTGGTCATGTCCAAGAGTTATGGGGTGGGCAGAGGCCAAAGTTCTCGTCTCAAGTTCTCTTCAAGTGAGGGATGGGGCTAACCAGAGAGCCAGGCAGTCCTACTTGGGCTTGTATCTTTTGCGCCGGGATTCCTCCTTATTTCCAGGTTGAATCTCTCCTTGGTCAGTTTCCATCCGTTGCTTCTTGTCCTGCTTTCTGGTGCTTCGGGGAACAGCTTGACTCCCTCCTCTCTGGGGTAGCCCCCCCTCCCAATATTGGAACACTGCTATCATATCCCCCCCCCCGCCCACAGTCCTTCTTTTCATTAAACAAGACAAACCCAATTCCAGCAATCGTTCTTTATCTGTTTAAACCTCCAGTCCTCACCTTGTTGAGTTCCTGCTGCTTCCGATGAAGCTCTTGGCATTTGCAACGTGGGAAAACCGTCTGCACGAGCCTTTTGATGGTGAAGCGGTCAACCATGTCTGCGTAAATATGGCGCCTCAGTTCATGCAAATCCTCGCCCTGGCAAGGAGAAGGTCAACTTCGTGAATGGCGGAGAAATAGGCATCACTATTATTTATTACCTAGGCCTGGGCATGACTGTATCATTTTCTCCTCCCTCCCTGAAATATACAGTATAAATAGGAGTGCCTCCGTTTATTTGTAGGAACCCCTTGCATTATTTCTTGGGGGGGGGGGAGAATTCCTCCAGTGCATACTGTTAAAATAAAGAAAATACTACAGCGAGACTCGATTATTGGTTTGGGGCCCTGCAGTTTGATCCCACAAGATGCAGTGCTGCAAGTTCCATCCGCGAGCATATTAAGGTATAAGAGAAATCCGAAGGGACCTTGGAGGTCTTCTAGTCCAACCCCTTGCTTAGGCAAGAAGCTTTGCCTATAACATTCAGACAAACGGTTGTCCAGTCTCTTCAGTGATGGAGCACCCACAACCAGGGGTGGGATTCAAATGTTGTAATAACCGGTTCTGTGGGCATGGCTATGTGACTGGGGGGGTGGGGGGGGCAGCATAGTGTTGTGGTTCGCTTGGCAGCAATCAGGAAGGCAACTCGGGAGTAAGAATGCTAATTAATGGCCCCTCCCTCTAGGGAATATAAGCCTGGTTTCAAATGGCTTTTGCCTTTACAAAAGGCGAAAGTTCGAAGGAGTTAGTGTGATGATTACAGACTCTGATTTATTGGACTAATTGGCTGCAAGCCACCTGTTATCTACAAAGAGGGTTATTTGTGGAATAAAGCCGTGAACGTTTCAGTGTTCGAGTTTATCTGTGTTTGCTTTTGGAAACTTCGGCTGGGACAGAATACATGGTTGTTTGTTTGTTTGTTTGTTTTGCAGCACCCCCTCCCCCGTTTTTGGGGCGTCCTGGGGGGGCTTTTTTGCTCCCAGGCGGCTTCCCTGAGGCCCAGGAGGCCCAAAACGGAGTGCAGGGGAGGGGGGCGCAGCACACACACACCCCTTTTTGCCTCCTGGGCCTCGGGGAAGGCTCCTGGGCAGAGCAGTCAAACAGTGAGGGGATTCCCAGCACAGCTGATCATGGGAACAGCTGATCGTCGGGAGTGGGAGAAAAGAAATACCTTAAGGAGTGACTAGGCGGGGAAGGACGAAGTCAGCAATGTCAGGTATGTGTGCAATTTTGTGCATGCACGATAAGGACTGACTGGGAGGGAAGGGGAAGGCGGAGAGGGGAGGGGCACAATTTGCCGGTTCTCAAAAACTGCACAGAACCATAACAACCGGTCTACGGAATCCTACCCCTGCCCACAATCTCTGAAGGCCAGCTGTCCCACTGGCTATTTTCCCACTGTCAGGAAATTTCTCCTTAGTTCTAAGTTGCTTCTCGATGAGTTTCCCTCCTGTTGCTCCTTGTCCTGCTCTCTGATGCTTTGGAGAATAAATTGACCCCCCCCCCTCTTGTTTGTGTCAGCTCTTCATATATTCGCAGCCCCTCCCCAAAGAAAAAAAATGTGATGCCCAAACTTGTGGCTGGTTTCCTCTGAATTAAACCCCCCAAAACGAGCCGTACTTTACCTCCGGGTTGAGGAAGAGATGACACTGGGCGGGTTGGCCGTCCCTCCCAGCCCGCCCGATCTCCTGCACGTAGCTCTCGAAGTTCTTGGGCATGTTGTAATGCACGACCCCGCGCACATCCGACTTGTCCAGGCCCATCCCAAAGGCCACCGTGGCCACCACCACTCGCAGCTGGCCAGACATGAAGCTGTTCTGCACACGGCGGCGTTCGTGGGCGGACAAGCCCGCGTGGTAGGCATCAGCCACCCATTTCAGAGGGCGCCGGATGCTCTTTTTAGCTGGGGGGGGGGAATGAGAGGAGGATGAAGGGGAGGCTCACTGCAAGCCTGGCAGAAACATCAAAGGCATACAGGTAGTCCTTGACGTACAACCGCTCTGTCAACTCAAAAATATTTCTCTGGTCTTTTAGAGTTGACAGCAGAAAAGGAGTGGGGGAAGTAGTGCATTCCTTAAATGCTTCAGATAATAGCTAGGCAGCCAAAGCTGTTGGCACACAAGATTATTACTGGAGAGCCTGATTGATGACTCTTGGCTATGGATGGGTCCCATTGGAGAATATACATCCAGGGGTGGGGAGGAAGACCAGGGTCAAGGGTGAAATGAATGATGTGTCTCAGAGTCAGCTGCACCCAGATAACGCTGACATGGTCACTCCTAATAAACCTTGTTGCTGTTTTTTAACTTTGAGAGATGTGGCTAGAGACTTCGAATTTGAATGGGGGAGGATGCTGGAGCCTTGACACGTACATTCAGTGACGGTTCAAAGTTACAACGGCACTGAAAAAAAGTGACTTATGACCTTTTTTCACGCTCACGACCCTTACACCATCCCCTTGTCATGTGATTAAAATTTGGATGCTTGGCAACTGTCTCATATTTACGACGGTCGCAGCGTCCCTGGGGTCACCTGATCCCCTTCTGCGGGGATACCAGATTCATGTAACCACCATGTGGCTCACTTAACAACCATGGCAGGTTGTAAGATGGGGGAAAGCTCACTTATCAACAGTCTTGCTTAGCAACAGAAAATGTTGGGACTCAAGGACGGTCATAAATCGGGGACCAAAAGAACAATGCTTTTGAGTTTCTGCCACATCCCTTATTCCCTACCCAGCTGTTTCCCCGGGTCTGTTCTGCCCATATTGGCCAGTCAACAGCTACCTTTGGCTTTCTTCCTTTTTCCGGGGAGATGGACCTCTCCTTCTGGCTCTCCTTCACAGGGGGGGCCTCTCAGCTTCACCCCCTGCAAACAGGTGCGGATGAAGGCTGCAATCCGTGCTGTCTCTTCCCGGCGCGTGCAGTATACGATGATTGAGTCCAGGCTTCCAAATCTTTCCCCTTGCAGCAAACTTACGAGAGCCTGCAATAGTTCATAGTTTTTCAACAGAGATTGTTCTGGATACGTTAGGAAAAGAGGGTTGTGTTTGTCAGAGAGGGAAGAAAGCCATCAATACCCAGCAGGAAAACATTTCCTATCTGGGGAATTGTTTGTGGCGTTTTCAGCCTGATGTTCCTCTCAGTTCTAGGAGATTGATCTCAAACAAATACCCAAAGGTGCTTTTTCAGCTCTTTTGAAGACAGCAAAGTCCACATTTTGGACAGAGAGGACGGCTGGTTTGAATGAGGGATCCAAGAGGCCATCTGTGTCCAAATTGAACAGCCCTCCCTCAACAGGGGAATATGACATCATCCATCTCCAGTCTACAACGCAGTCCTTCCAGCAGTTCCAAGAAGGCTCCACACTCATTTGCACCACTCAGGTGACCCCGAGGACACAGATAAACCTCCAAGTGGCCTCAAGGACTCTCTTAAAAAATGCAAAGGACCAGCTGTCTGCAAGGAATATAAATTCTTCCATTCTCCACCATCCAGTCAGAGCTGAAGAAGCTTCATGGATGAGAAGCAAAACCAACAAAGTCCAGTTGCCTCTTGAAAAAAGCACCTTTTGGATAACCATGACCTGCATAGCTGAGAATCTCCATAGACATCCCAAACAAATTCTCCCAGAGGAGTGGATTTCTGAATTCCAGAACTCTGGCTACTAATACTGGAAAAGCACTCTAAAGGTGTAGCAACTTCTGGATAGGAAGTACAAAGCACAGGCAGAGCCGGTTGAGGGAGAAAGCCTGTTTTCTTAGAAAAACCTTAAGATTCAACCTTGTGAGCTTCTGAGTCAACATACACACCTGGCAACGTTCTTAAAGACTCTCACCCACCTCCCAACGGCTCTCTAATATGGAAACACCTGGCTGGGCTCCAGACTTACCTGATCCTTGTCTCTATCTGTAGAGACAGAGAGACACAAGTTTGGAGGAACTGCAACGGAACGCACAGCCAGCCCTTCGCCCTCTGGGATGCCCAAGTGATGGGCCACGTCCTGTGCTGTTGAAACGGTGGCGGTGGCTGTCAGGCCTAACAAACACCGCACACCCAAGCGTTCTCGAAGAACCTGCCAGGAAAGAAACAGTGAGGTCCTCTACTTCGGAAAGCAGAAGACGCCAACTCTCTTCCAGCCGTGGGGCTTATCTGTGCCCAGCTGGACCAATAAAAATGCTGCCCTTTACACAACGTGTGTTGCTCTTCCCAATTGGAAAAGGAAAGTTTTGATGAGAGAGGAAGGGAGGGAGGGAGAGAAGAGAGATGGACAGAAAAAAAATGAGACAGAAAGAGATAAGCAGTGTGTGAGAGAGACAGAGAGAATAAGAGAATGATAGTGAGAAAGAGAAAATGCGTGTAAGAGAATGAGAAAGAATAAGTGTTAGAAAGATAGAGAAAATGAGTGTGAGAGAAACAGAGACAGAGAGAATAAACAAAAGAGAATGAGAGTGTAAGAAAGAGTAAATGAGTGAGAGAGAATGAGAGAGAGAGTGTGCAAGATTTTAATCTGCTTCAAAGGGAAATATAAACCCCCATACTCATCATTAGTAGCAATAAATGAGGTCAGTAGGCCAGCCTTCCCAATGTCGGGCCATATTTAGATTATCACATGGAACCGTTTTAGAATTATTTTAATTATATGGCTTGGCAATTTCCAAGTATATGGATTTCAACTCCGAGAATTCCGCCGCCAGGACAGCCACTGCTGAGAATTGTAGGGATTGAAGTCCACTCACCTTCAATTTGCCAAGGGTTGGGAAAGGCTGCTCTAGGAAAACTTTTGAGGCTGATTTAAGAGCACAAGAGGACTGTTCAGATGCTAACTGCTCAGGGTCTTCGACCCTAGGGGGGCCCCCCTCAAAAGCCCCTCCTCCCTGCAGCACCCCGACCCATGCTTCCACTCCTTCGTCCCCAGTACCTTACAGAGCCGGAGGTAGCAAGGGCGGAAGTTATGCGACCACTCGGACAGACAGTGCACTTCGTCGATGCAGGCAAAAGCCACGGGGGGCAGCTGGTCGGCGGGAGGGAGGCAGCTGCTGCTCGAGAGTCCCCCTCCAACCAAGGCCTCGGGGGAGAGAAGGAGCACCTGGACTTTCCCGGCCTTTACCTGCAAGCAGACAAGCTTGGTTGGTCAGGGACACAGGCTTTCTGTCAGAACTGCCATCTTCAGCTTTGTGCTGTGCTGGCATCCTGTCATAAACTGTTAGGGGGAGAAGAGGAGAGAGAAAGGAGGCAACTGGCATGTGGAGAGTAGAGAGGTGTCTGTGTGTCTGTGTGTGTATGTCAGGCTTAATACCCTGTTTCCCCCAAAATACGACCTACCCCGAAAGTAAGTCTTACTTAGCTTGATTTTTTTACATGTGCGCCCAATATAAGCCCTATCCCCAAAATAAGCCCTAATTAAGATCCCGCCCACTCCAGAGTAGACGGGTGAAAATTAAGCTAGGGCGGGGATAGGGGTGGAGGAGCTGCCCTACTACTTACCTGTGAACAGTTGTAGCCAGGCCTCGTACACCCCGACACCTGCCACTGGCATTTCTTCTGCCACCGGCAAGGCTGGCAAGGCTTTTCCTGAAGGCCTCTGGAGCTGAGAACAAAGCTCTGGATCGATCCTGAGCTCTCTTATCGGCCGCAGAGGCCTTCAGGAAAGCCTTGCCGGCCGCAGAAGAAGAAGTTCCTGAAGGCCCGACAGTGAAAAGGAGGCTGGGGGCAAGGCGCACAAGTGAGGTTAGTCAGTGGATGAGACATCCCCTGAAAATAAGACCTGGTGCCTTTTGCGGTGGCAAAATATATATATATATGACAGGGTGTTATTTTAGGGGGAGCGCGGTAGAAACCAGAGGTCTTCAAGGACACCTGGTCTGGGAAAAGAATTCAAATTGCACCAAGCGGCACTGTTCCCCAAACACCTCTACAGCACACCATTGGACAGAGACGGACGGGTCAAGGGAGAAGGCCAGGGAGAAGGAGAACATTGGTAACACTTTGCGCAGGAAGTCACTTGATAACTGTTCTCACTTAGCATCAGCAATGTTGGGCTCAGTTGTGGTCGTCAATCGAGGACTACCTGTCTTTACTGTGTAAGTTCAAAGGTGGAATGCTCTTTCCGTTGAGCAACCTGGTCTACCCAATTATGGGACGCAGCATAGACAGAACAGAGAGAAGTAGATCTATACTAGCCTCCCTTGATTTCTTTATCGGTAAACATAAATTCAGTTCAAGGCTGGAGGCTGGCAGGAGCCCAACACACCTGACACTACCCCAACCGAGACCACCAATCCCACAATCCTTAGACCGCATGGGAGTCAGGGGCTCTGCAGGGCAATATGACCTGGGGGATCCTAGTTAAGACAGTTCTTGGTGACCTCGAGGTAGTTTCGCCCTCATGCAGTTGGCTCACCCGCTCCATGGCAGCCTCCCGCTGAGCCTTCGACATGCTGGAGTGGACGCAGACTGCTTTCAAGCCCTGAGGGAGGCCAGAGACCTGCAAGGGATACAGATCGCGCCTCGTTCAGAGTTAGCCAAACACGGAGCTACCAGCACCGTCTCCAGGAGACAAACAGGAGTCAAGTCCCCGCTGCCTTTTTCCTACTGCTGCAATTTTGGCTCCAGAAAAATAATACTGAATTGTGAATTTTGGCTCACCCTACCTGTCCCAACACAGGAGCCATGCTTGCAGGGGGTCTAGGACAGGGGTGTCAAACTCAAGGCCTGAAGGCCGAATCCGGCCAGCGGTGGGATTCCAAATTTCCCCCCACCGATTCTGACAGCACGTTTTGCACGCGCAGCAATGAAAAACCAATCTCTGTCAGTGCTGGTGAGGTGAGCTGTTTTTTTTAGCTCAGCTGAGGCGCAGCAATCCGCTCGCACCAGTGGGGGTGCGTAGGTGCGCACATGCTTGCCTGCCACTTCAGCGGCCCAGTTCTGAAAGGCTCAGGGCCCAGTAGTGGGCCACGACTGCAGCACTAGGGACCCCTGGCTTATGGATTAAAAGCATTGAAACCATTAATAAAAGAAGTTTTTCTAAAACAATAAAAAGGATAGTGACAATGAAAAATAAATTATGGTTATATAAATTATATGTGAGGGCAGTGGGGCCGGCTCTTCGTTCATCCACCACCTCCAGGGTGATGCTGCACCATTGGGGTCCCAGGCCACGGGGCAGCCAGGTCTTCAGGCCCTTGTGGAAGGTCAGGAGGGTGGGAGTGGACCTCACTGCAGGGGGGAAAGGTGTCCCAAAGGTGACCCAGCAGAGAAGCCTCTTCTCCTAGACCCTGCCAGGCAGAATTCCTTGACTGATGCAGCCCGCAGCATGGCTCCTCTGCCAGTCCCAGTGGGGTGAGAGGGTCCCTCAAGTGACCCATGCCCGGCAAGGCTTTAAAGAGGGTGCACAATTTGGGTTGTTTTTTTCCTGGCCTCAAAGCTCGAAGAGTAGGTGGCAGCTGTGACCAGGAAGGCCTTCTTCACCTGGTAAGCCAGTTGCGCTTCAGTCAGCCAGCTATGGCCATCTCACAACTCTCTACATGGGGCTGCCCCTGGAGACCACCTAGGACAGGGGTGTCAAATTCAAGGCTCATGGGCCGGATCTGGCCAGCAGGGTGCTTAATCTGGCCCACGGGGCCACCCTGGAAAGAGCAAAGGCTGGCCCACGGGGCCTCTGCCCGTGCAAACAGAGCTCGTGAGGGCCGCACGCAGTCCCCCCACACTCCGTTTTCGCTGGCAAGAGGGTTGCAGGATGCCACCATAGCTGAAAACAGAGCTTAGGAGGCCCTTCTCGCTGGCAAAGCGCTCAGGCCACCACAGGAGCCCCCAACATGGGTGACATCGAGCTGGCCATGTCCACTCTGGCTACGGTCCCCCGAGGTCAAACACAACCCTGATGCGCCCCTCAATGAAGCTGAGTTTGACACCCCGACCTAGAAGCTTCAACTGGTCCAGAATGTACCATCGTATGCAGTGATGTTAACACCTCTGGTTCTCTGAACGGCCGGATTGCTGGTTTGCTTCGCAGAATGCGATTCGAGGTGTCGCCCCCCCCCTCCCAAACCAAGGGCACGCATCCCAGCTTACTTGGTCGTCCATCAGCGAGACCAAGGGAGAGATCACCAAAGCGATGCACGGGGACCGCTTGCTGTACAGATAGGCAGGGAGCTGGTAGCAGAGAGATTTCCCCATTCCTGTTGACAAGACCACCAAGGTGGAGAGCCCTGTAAGAGAGTGAAGCCAGCAGAGTCGGCCTCAGAAGTGGCAGCCGCGGGAGCCTTCCCCGGTGCTGGCCCTCGGCCAGAAACTGCAGTGCTAGAAGGACATCTAGCCCACCCCCTGCTCAGTGCAGGATTCACTACGACAGCTAGGACAGAGGATCACTGAATTCCTATATGAAGACCTTCAGGGTTAGTTAGTTTACTTCATTGATTAGCCCTTGGGCCATATCAAAGTGCAGAGTTCCAGACACACATTATTACTAAAATCTGATAAAAACAATTTAAAATGGAATTGGATAAAATACTTTTTAAAACGAAATGGGAATAAAACACCATGATTTAATACATAAATAAAATGTGATAAAATTATATTTCGGTATCACCCCTACAATCTACCCTAATCAGTCCCACATATGCCGATCTCAACCAAACCATTTTGCTCAAGGACTGGGCTGTGTTAAGTGTTATTTTCAAACCCTGGTCGCACATGAGGTAGGTTGTTTTGATATGGGTGAAGACCTTCAGGGAAAATCTCCCCCGTACAGCTGGCAGCCTGTTTCACTGACTGACGGGTGATACATTTAAAGGTTCCTAACATGTAGCCTGAATCTACATTTGCTGAAGTTCAAAAAGGGTTCCAAGAGATATTGTGAAGGCATGAAGAGGAATCTCCAGGTTATCAGAAAACAGTAGAGCCAGGTGTCCTTTCCTGATAGCTCCAGTTCAAGTGTTGCTAGCAGGGAACTAGTCAGTCTAATGAATTTTCAAATTGTATTTATTTTGGGTGTTTTTATTGTTTTTGAAGTGCTTTTTATTGGTTGTTTTTTTTTGTAATTTTGGAATTGTAAGCCACCCATTGACTGGGCAGTTATAGAAATTGAAAGAATGTATGAAAGTATGAACGAATGAGTTGAGATGCACAGTGCCTATTCATATACTAGAGCAGACATGGCAGAAAACACAAATTTCATCTGATGTCTGTGCAGAAGGGATTGGGGAATAGAGCCAAAGCAGAGGAGGTTAACACACCACGTTATATTTCTCCTTCCGTTCATTTTGCCATCACGAAATCGTGCTTCCTAACACAAAACGTGCATTTCCTCTAGGCCCCATTGAGGAGTGTGCTCAAGAGACAAGAGGAAGCTTCAGGTAAGATGGAGACTCGCTACGGGGCAGACCTAACTTCTCTTGTGTGTAGTGGCACAAGCTCCAGGAAAAAAAGGAGACACTTGCCAATGTTACCTCACCAGGCTCTGTCGGGAGACTAGGACAAACCGAAGCCGACTAAGAACCACTGCTTGTCCTTCAGAAGTTCCCGCTGCCTTAAGAAAGTTCAAAACATTCTTAAAGATCCATCTTAACCTGGGCGCCCTTGTTTCGAACTATTACAGTCTGGCAGATGGTACAGGGTAATAAAAACAAGGACAAACAGGCTAATAAACAGCTTCTATCCCAGGGCAAGAAACTATACTGAATTCTACTGCATAGTGCAATATTAATGCAATATCAGGGTTTTTTAATTCAATTGTATAGAATGTGAAGAAGGATGTGTGTTTTTGTTTTTATTTCTATAGTTTTCTTATGTATAACGTACACCGAAGATGGCATTTAATTTTGTTGTATGAGGAGCAATGACAATAAAGTATAAGTGTTGCCTGAAATACCTGGCCATCACAACAACTGCCAAGATCCAAGCAAGTTAAGGGTTTGTTTCTTTACGCCTTACCTGAGAGTATCCTCATCACTGCTGTTTCCTGTCCTGGCCGGAAGGAAGTATAACCCAGCTCAGCCAGTGCTTGGAACACTTCAGGAGGTGTACCTGGACAAGATACAGTGCACAACCCGCAGTTAGGGATGGCTGTTCCCCAGGGAAGACTCAGCAGAACGGTCTGAGCAGACGCCTTCAGCATGGCCTGTTGCCGTTTCAGCTATAAACATACAGACTCTTTACAAAAGATTACAGATTTTGAAGAACTGAAACTTCAGCAGGGCAGGACAACTGAGGACTTCAAAGCTGCCTCAATTAGCATACATTTGTCAGAAATAGTGTAGGGTCCCCCGCTTGGGTAGGGGGTTGGACTAGATGTCCTATAAGGTCCCTTCCAACTCTGATTATCCGTTATCTGTTACATTCCTCCTATGTTTCCCAGAACCATAACAGAAAAACAGAGTTGGAAGGGACTTTAGAGGTCTTCTAGTCTAACCCTCTGCTCAGACAGGAAACTTTATACCATTTCAAACAAATAGTTGTCCAGTCTCTTCTTAAAAACTTCCAGTGTTGGAGCATCCACAACTTCTGGAGCCAAGCTGTCCCGCTGGTTAATTGTTCTCACTGTAAGGAAATTTCTCCTTAGTTCTAAGTTGCTTCTCTCCTTGACGAGTTTCCATCTATTGCTTTTCAAGTGCTTTGGAGAATAGCTTGACCCCCCTCTTCTTCTTTGTGGCAGCCCCTCAAATATTGGAAGACTTCTATCATGTCACCCCTGATCCTTCTTTTCACTAGACTAGACATACCTAATTCCTGCAAGTGTTTTTTAAACGTTTCAGCCTTCCTCCAGAACTTGTTTTCCTCGCGGCCCGAATCTTACCTCTCACCTTCTTATCTGGCCCCAGTTTGTAGAAAGGCTCTATCGGTGCAGGTGGAGTGAACGTTTCAGGTGCGGGCCTTCCTATTTGCAGGTAACTTTCTTCCTGAGCGGACCTCTCCGGGGTTTCTTGGCTGTTCTCACTCTTTGCTGAGGAAGGAGAATTGAGGCTGAAATTCTTGTCAGAGGGAACACTGTGATTAACAGCCTTAATAGCAACCCAACCCAACTTCATGGTTGATGCTACGCTTTATCTTCTGGTTTGAGACAAACCAGAAACGATTCTGGAAGCAGATGCTCTGGCATGGCAGAGGTAGGTCTTGTCTCTTACTTGAAATTTTCGTGTAAGTCGTATTGGTCATCTGAGCCACTTCCTCCAGAGTCAGCAAAGGTACTTCCTCTTCAGCAGCACCGCTCTTGTCCTCCAGCTGGGCACTGGTAGCAGGCCGTTGATCTGTAGGGACGACACCAAAGGAATGCAAAAGTTTTCTGTTACGTAGTTCAGTGATGGTAAGTGTCAGTGCTGCCATCCTTCTTCACCCCATTGCCACTTTGCTGATGCCAGGCTGCCATGAACCATGTATGGGGGGGAGGGAGCTATTGGGTGGGTGGGTGGGGGGAAAAGACAAGAAAACGGTTCCAAGTGCCCATTAGAGACATCGGCTAACCGACCCAAAGGCCACGAGCCTGGGAATGGAATGCAGACCATCACCGAGCCCACCAAGCACCAGAACTGTTACCAAAACAATATGCTTGAATTCTATTGGACACCAGGGAGATAACGGGGAAGGACCTGGGAAAGGGAACAGTAAATAGGCAGTTTTGGTGGGTGAAATCTCAGATCGGGCTTTTTCTATTTTGTAACCACTTGGCTTTAGTAAAAGTCACTACAAATGCAGTCGAAGACTTTTCTTTTCTAAATGACCAAATCAGGACAAGTCCGACAGCATGTTTCTGTTATGTTTATTTTGGTTTTGATATTTCTATCAATGTTTTTTTTAATGTCTCCACTACTGATGAAGCCTAATTAAAACTGGGAAATTGACCTTGAGAAATATTTGATCTATGTCAGTTAATATGTTCGGAACAATTTGATTATTCTTTGAAATGCATTGATCAGCGGAATCAGGAAAGAAAAATGGGAAATTATTGGCTCACAAGCAAGAAAAGCAATGCAATTTTACATCTGGAATTCAAGCCAACGATAGTCAGTTATGTAATGAGGCAGGGGTTATTAATTACCAGTTTAATTATTTTAATGCTCAGTTACATTCAGATAAGACATGTGTAACTGAATAGTAAATAATTAATTTATTGGGAAATGCTGAGTTGGAAGAAATCTCTCGGGAAGATTTAAAAACACATGACAGAACCAATTATACTGCCAGAAATAATGGTAGAAATTTAACAATAAAACAATAAAATATATGAAACTTGTGAAAGCTCTGATCGCAGTAAATTCAGTTGAATGGTATAGAACTTAGATAGATGTAAGTGGTTTATGATTAATCGTTTATTTATGTAAGGTACTCCTTAATTCCAGGTTGCTTCTCTCTTTTGATTAAGCATAAGGACTTAATTAATTCTGTACTGTTACTGAGTTGACAGAATATAGGTTTTTTTCTTAATCACTTTATTCTTTTTTCTCATGTTTATTTTAATCACTACCAATGCATATAGATTTTTTTCTCATTAGGTAACCACCACCCTGCTTTCTGTTGGTGGTGGTGTTTATATTCCACTGTTATAGTTTTTTTTAAAAAAAAAAACTAGATAAACCAGGTAAGTAAGGTTCTTTTGGGTTTTTTTTTTAACTGTTTCTTTGGCAGGAGAGACCACTGCCTCAATTTCAGAACGGTCTTTTTAGTTCAGTACAGTGTGTCCCTCTGTGGGGGACTTCAAGGCAACCTTTGCTAACTGACCTGGATTCTGTCACCAGGCTTTCCGGTTTGATATCGTCAACCTGCCAGACCCACCTTCACCTTTGCACTGGGAAGACCAATGGCCGCGTCCCCCACATTTGAAGCAAGTGTCAGAACTTCGGTCCATGAGCCTGCCACCTCCACCAAACTGCTGCCCCTTTTTCTGCCACTTCTGCTTCCACACCTAGGCAGGACCAAAATACAGATGAGGCGAAGAGGGCCTGGTTCATCCTTTCCTACGTAGCTGGTCACTTCAGGGGATTGTCCGAGGAGCCATCTTGTCCCAGTGGGACTAGCCCACCCCACTTGCTCCACTTGTGCTGCTGCAGAACCCATCGGCCAAGGAATTCTGGAAGGCAGACTCAAAAGAGAAGAGCCATTTCCACTGTGGACCCCGCCCGGTGGAACATCCTGCCACTGGAAATGAGAAGTGCTCCCATTCTTTTGGCCATCGGAAGGGTATCAAAATCTGGTTTTGCCAAGAGGGACCCCCAAGAGGGACGCCTTCTGCTGGAGGTTGTGGATGGGGTAAGAAGATCCCCCTGCTATCTATTTCCTTGTTTTTATATAGCATTGTAATAGTTTTTATGTTAACCTTTTTAAGGCTTGTAAGCCGCCCTTGTCAGTGAAAGGAGCAGCATATAACCTTAATAAACAAATCAAGCAGAAGAGAAATTGGGCTAATCTTGCTTGCTCTTTCAGTAAGACCTGTGGTTTTAACTTCTAATACAGGTAGTCCTCATCTTACATTCATTTAGTGACTGTCTGAAGTTAAAATGGCACTGAAAAAAATGACCATTTTTCACATGACCATTGTAGCCTCCCCAAGGCCACCTGATCAAAATTTGGAGGCTTGGCAACTGGCATGTACTTATGATCAGTTTCAGTGTTCTGGGGTCATGTGATCCCCCCCCCCCCCTTTTACAACCTGACAAGCAATGTCAATGGGAAGCCAGATTTAACTGTGTGGCTAACAATTGCAGTGATTCACTTAATAACTGCAGCAAGCAAGGCTGTAAAACGGGACAAAACTCACTTAACAACTGCCTGGCTTAGTAATAGAAACTGTGGGCTCAATTGTGGTCGAAAGTTGAGGACTGCCCGCAGTCAATTTTCCAGCATGGGGGGGAAAAAGATGATCAAGCATGAAATGTGAGAACCCGTTAAAAGCTCTTAAATGTGTTGACTCACTATGCAGGTTGGCCACAAGGCAACTTACCTGCTTGCGAAGGTGTTTTCCCTTCAAGGAGCAATGCTTTACGTGGGATTTTGTTTTCATATTGAGACGGACAAAATTGCCACATTTCTTTGGTGGCAGCCTGGGGAAGAAAAAACTCCTATCAATAAAAAGCCAGGAGTATCCAACCTTGGCAACTTTTAAGACTTGAGGACTTCAACTCCCAGAATTCCCCAGCCTCACTCCAGGTAAAGGTGAGGGGTACCTGCAGCTTGGCATGCTGGGCTTCCCACTCCTCTTAGGACGATTTTCCTCAACCAGGTCCCCAAGTATATTTTCAGAAAGAAGTGGAACCCTCTCCTTCTCCTCCTCTTGCACTTTGGCAGCGTCTTGGTCAAAGTCGTATTCATCCTTTCGTGGCTTTTGACTGGCAGGATGCAGTTTTTTGACGTGGCTGTCCCCAACCAGCTCCTTAGTCCTTTGGCGCTTTGTACAAACGCCAGGTTTAGAAACGCCTGGAGTAACTTCATCGTCAGCTGCAGGATCCAGACGCCTTTTCTTGCTTGGCATTTTCCCTTTCTTGGTGGGGGGAATCTGTCCATTCTGCCCATCACATAAAGCACCCCTCAGCCGAAGGCTGCCATCTTTTCTGCCAGTCTCCAAGTTCTGCATCTGCTCAGTGGTGAGAATTTCAGCACTGGTTTCACTGGATGCTACGCTTACCCTTTCTTTGTCTGTCTCTGGATTATCCCCTGTGCTCCGTGTACTCAGGCCTTCTGGGCTCTGGACCACGGGCTGGCTCTCTAACATGTCCTGCTGACAATTTTCCTGGGGAGATTGGCCATCTTTCTCCCATTTTCTTTTCCCAGGTTGGAAAAACGGGGTCTGTGCTTGGACGGAAATGCTTTCTGGCAATCCTGGGCATGGCCCTGCCCCATTAGCTACATTTAAACTATAGTCTTCATTTTGTTCCTCTCTGGTTTCCAATTTTGTCCCTTGGCACCTGTCTAGCCACCCAGCATCCAAACTGCTCAATCGTTTCGTTACTGTCTGCTTTTGCCACTGAAACCGATCCGATGATGGCAGCCTCGGTTTCGGACCAGGAAAACGGAACTGAGTGCCAGCCAGGTTTGGAAATGAAGTAGGAAGGAGAGCTGTAACTTCCTTGGCATTAGAACCAGGCAAATCACTGGGATTAGTTTTTAATGAAGGAATTTCAGGCGATGGGAAAGACGCAACTTTTTCAATCTGAGCTCCATCCTTCTGTGCTAATTGAACTGGTTTGCTTTTCGGAGTGAGGGATCTCCTTAAAGTTATAGGACATTCCTGGGATCAAAAGTAAAATAACACACAATTAGTAGAATCAGAAGGATATCACTGCTGAAAACTAATACAATATTCTTAGCTTCTGAAATCTTTTATTTTTGCTGTTTTGTTGTTGCCTGCAATCTCCTTGCATGTTTTATTTATGCAATTTATAAGACCATCTATCTATCCAAGAAACTCTTGACAGTGAATATATTCTTTCATGCCATAAGGCAAGAGAAGAACTGAGTCAATTTAAAATTGGGGCTCATTTAGCAGGTTTGGGTAGAAATGTGGGGCCTAATTTTACCCGCCTTCCTCCCCTATCCTACTTATGTCAGAATTATATGTTGGGTTAATTCAAGTATAAATTATGATAGCCTTTAAAGTTATTCTTGCTTACTCATATCAGAAAGTTATATTTAAAATAAGAGATACATTGGGTCACTAGGCAAGCGTGCAATCTGATCTTTTTATGAAAAACCAAAGAAACATTGGGGAAAACTTCCTTTTAATTTTCCCTCTGCATTCTAATTCTCTGGTTTTTCTTGAGATTTCTCTGTGTTTTGGGACTAGAGTAATACATCTGTAGAAGGCTACTTTTCTAATCTTTGTTCATTTGATTTGATTTTCTTATTTCTTTAGTCACAGTCACACTGTTACTTTAATATATTAAGGAAGTGACACATAAATGTAGACTTCCCCTTCAGATCAAACGTTGCTGAACAGAGTTATTAGTAGCTATGGGCCCAGATAAATACTATGGTAGGTATCTAATTAACTCAAAATGAGATGCAAGTCTCATGTTTGTTGACAATAGAGCAAGGATGAGAAAGAAATTTTTACAGAGAATTGGTCCCTTTGATTCTTCAATGACTTTCATCCTCCAAAAATCAAGCTACAGTACCTTCTACATTCAAAACAACAATGTTTTGCACAATATATAATTGCATTGTATAAACTCAGTAAAATACAACAATATAGCAACTATACACTTCTCAACAACCACAAACTTTTCAGACCTTAATTTTTGCACCTAAGTTGCATTTCAGCTTCATCCCGAAATGCTGAGCTGAGGCCTGCAAGGCTTCTGGATTCTGCTGGGTCACTTTAGAAATCTTCTGCCCTCGATTCAGGTGTGATCCCCAGGAACCAAAATCAGATGCCTTAGCAAATGGACCCAAGCAAAGAGGAGACAGAAAGACAACTCAGTTGTTAATATCAGACTTTTTCAAAAAGACCCAGGTGGAGCCACAAACTTGACCATTCTTTTTGGGTTGCCCTCTTGTGTGAATGCAGCGGGTGTGTTAACTAATAGCTTACACTATGCAGATCATGACAGTTGGGTTAAATGGGTAAATTAAATGATTAGGTAAACTAGAGTTTGGATATTGTGCGGACACAACCAGTGAATTTTGGATGCTATGTATAAAAGGAGTGAAGTAAATGTTAACTCGCTGTAAGAAATTTCAGGAAAACTGATGTGTTCCTATAACTCTCTTAACAAGTCAATTAAAGTGACTGCATTCACAAGGCACATAAGTATAGTTTTAATGTGAACCCATAAACTATTGTAGTAACTAGGTTTAGCATGTTGTACAAACCCAACAGCTGAAATGTTGGTGGTGTTTAAGCAAGTTTTGCTTTAAACTAAAGCAAGAAGGCGAAATGATTCCTCTCCCCACTTTCAGGGCTCAGACAGAACAACATATTTGCAAAACATGGTGGCTCTTTCATTACCTTTTCTGGTAGTACAAGTTCCTGATTTTCTTGCTGGCAGGTCATGGCAGATTCAGGGCGATCATGATGCCCCTTGGATTCTTTTAGAGCTTTGTACTCTCTGTACAGTTCTGTGTGCAAATGAGATTTTTGAGCTGAGAATCATGTGGCCAAATTAATTCTGTAGTCCCTCAAATGTACAGTCTTCTTTAGGTAGGTTATCCAAATGTTCACTTTGCACTCAAAAACAGTTTCACACTCAAAACATGAGGACAAGGGAGAGGAGGTTTGTGAAACGTTGCCCTCAGAGTAAAATGTTTTGCACATCCCAAACAGTGAAGAATCTCTTACTATTCTTAGTATTACTATACTATTACAACTCAATGAAATTAGAGTTGCAGAAGTCCGAGAATGAAAGTTGTAGCTATTGCTCTTCTAAACGAATGAAACTTTCGCTTCAATCCATAAGAAAAACAAATCATAGATTTCCAAAATTGTGACAGAGTTTGAGCTGAGAGGGACTGGCTAAGGGTGGACCTGAACAAGTTTGATCGATGCTAGTCAACACAGTGTCCTCATATTATATTTATGACTCCCTTGATGCCATTCACATTTTTGCTTTTCTCATAGTAAAAAGTTAAAGACTAAGAAGTGATTTTTGACAAAATATATACCAATGCAATTAAAAGGAATATCAATGTATTGTAAAATCATTGCAATTAGCATCTAATTAAAAAGTTTTAGACACAGATTTCTTGTCTTCCTTACCTATTTTCTGATGAGAAAATGATCAAAACGTAGCATTTTAAAAGTTTGCAAAGAACTATCATGTTCCACTGATCAAAACTGTATTCTATCACATCTACTACTGCACCTCCATACACAGGACTGTAATATATTGTATAGAAGGATCATGCTTACTTTTTATTTTTTCAGGAGCATCCAGAACATCTGTCTGGAAAACAAACACAAAGAAATAATTTCGGAAATCTGCTTGATTTCAGTCGTGTTGAAAATGATTTAATTAGCCTAAACAATATAACGATGAAACTTATGATAATCCGATATTAAATTGCATTCAAAATACCTTGCTGGGCTTCCTCTGCTGCTCCTGAAAAAAAGAAGTCTCCCATTTTTTCAGAAGGACTTTAATTTTGTCCAAAGGGTCCATAGTTCCATTCAACAATTTCCCGAAAACTGTATGAAAAGACAGAATGTCAGGTTAATTAGCTCCAAGAAAACTCCATCAGAAGATTTAGCAAGAAATGCCATGAGAAAACACAATACAAACAGGACAATACCCAAGTCCTTGACACAAACATCAATCATTGCATAATATTCTGGTTCAGATTTTGATTGACAACTCCTCAACTTTAAAATTCCAATTCCAACCCTGCAATTTAAGCATACAGAATTATATATGTATGTATGTATGTTATTCAGCTTTGTTCGGGTATTTTCCCAGGTCATTATAGTTGTGCTTTTAAAGTTGTAGTGACGTTTCGGCAGAATCTCATCTGCCATCATCAGGCTCCTGTATTGTGTTCGTCTTTGAGGCAGACTTTTACAGCCGTTTCTGTTTTAAATTTGGTGCTAGCCTACTGCTGTGCCAGAATGGTTTTTTCTTCATCCTGATTGGTTGGGAGTCTTTGTCTGTGTTTATTGGTCTTGGACACCCCAACCAGGCACCCAGATGAAACCTAGCTTCCTAATAAATGATAGCCATCCGTTTACCCGAAGCCAAACCACACTAAAAGCCTCCAATAAAGGAAACACAATGTTGCCAGCCAATCAAGACAGATAATAGATATAATACATGATAATTAGATAGAATAGATAGAATAGACAGGTAATTAATATACAGAATAGATAAATAGATATAATAAACAGATAATTAATAGATAGAATAGATAGGATACAAATAATACTGTAGATATATAATAGATGATAGACAGATAATAGAGCTAGATAGATATAATAGCCAAATAAGATAGATAAAAATAGAGGTAGATAGAATAGATATAATAGATGATAATTAGATAGAATAGAATAGAGATAATTAATATATAGAATAGATAATAGATATAATAG